ACAGTGTCTGCCAGCCACGTGGGCTGATCATGGGAAACTCACATGGCCACCAATTGAGGGCAAGGCTGAAATGAGTCCACTAGACCCAAGATAAATAGGTATTTATTAGGGAAGTACTTACTCTGATGAGAGTAAAAAACCGTCATGATCTTCCCGCTCCAGAAGATTCAGTCTCTGCCGTTCTGATGCTCTGTAAGCCAAATAAACCCTTTCCTCCTCAACTTACCTTTTGGTCATGTTTCATCACAGCAGTAGTAACTCTGACTAAGACAAGCATCATGCCTTTATTCCAGCCAGTAATAAGAAAATAAGTGGAGGACACATCCTTTTTAAGAGTACACCATGGGGCTAGAGAGATAGCTCAGTGGTTAAGAGCACTGGGTGCTCTTCTAGAGGACCAGGGTTCAATTCCCAGCACCCATGTGGCAGCTCACAGCTGCCTGTAGCTCCAGTTCCAGGGTATCTGGAACACCAATGCACTTAAAATAAAAATTATGAAGTCAGGCATAGCGGTGCATACCTTTAATCTCAGCACTTGGGAGACATAGAGACAGACGGATCTCTGCGATCTTTTGATTTGAGGTCAGACTGGTCTATAGAGTGAATTCCATAAAAGCCAGAACTCATAGTAAGACTCCACAAAAAAAAAAAAAAAAAAACCCCCCCCCCCCCCCGCAAAGAGGGGAATTGGATATACATCATTTATTACATGACCATTCTTGCCAGCTGGAGATAGACTAGAGAATGTAGGGTTTCACTGTACAGCCCTACAAAGAGATGCAAGTCAGAAGATCTGCTAGAAAAGAGGAGAGGAAAATGGGGTTTAAGGGGCAAATGACATGTCTGCCACACAGGACTGTTGCTATTGGCTCAGGCCCTGCACCAGCCATCATTGCCTTACCTGATTGGCTAAAAATACATTATGGGATTGGCAGGATTAAAATGGAATATTTCCCTCTGGGACTCAGCAGGGACTCATTCCAAGTAACTTGATTTGGATTTGAAACCTCTCCCCAAGGAAAACCCAAAAGGCTCCAGGGCAGGAATAAAAGGGATTAGCACCCAGAGGCTGCCTTCCTGGAAAAAGCTCTCATTGGTTGTCTCATGAGTTCTGGGACCGGGGTACTTTTGTCTCATTCCATAGTTATAGCTTGTAGGGAGCCGGTTCCTGCATTATCCATTACAATAATGGTGCCTGAAGACACCAAGATGTAAATTACTTCACAGGCGCTGGGTAATCTCCATTCCTTTGATCTCTGCCTATCCCGTGGCTCATTTGGCCTGAGGAGCTGAAGCCATTCATAGGGTAACACGTCCCAGGCGGCTGGCCAGCCTTTTTAAGGGATGGGTTTCTTAGTTCAGTGTCTCCGCTCTGGTAAGCTTATGCATTAAAGCTTGTCTGCAGAAGGATCCGAGTGTCCTGCGTGTATTTCTTGTCGGCCGAGAAATACAGAGCGCGCGGGACAATAGCTCAGCAGAATGAAATCAGAAGGGTTAAGCCCTATTTACATATTCCCGCCACTGGTGAATGCAAGATGCGTTTTCCATGCAGACTGTAGGTCCACCTGCTGAGAGCCCAGCTCCAACTATCACTCACTGGGCAGGTCATGTTTTCTTACCTTGGAAATGGGAATGTAGGTTTGCAGGGAAATGAGGTGGTTCATGTTAGTATCTGGCACATGTAAGTGGTCAACATGCATACTATCTATGTCAAATGAACATGTTTTACGTTGCGTTTCAGAATCACAAACTTCAAGCCAGCCATAGTGACCCAGACCCAGAATCTCAGCACACGGGAGGTGGTCAGGAGGATCAGAAATTTAAGGCTCAGCCTAGGCCACATGAGACTGCTTATAGCTCCAGAGGGTTTGACACCTGGCTCCTGTGGGCTCCTGAGCTCCTGGGCACACACCCACACTCAGAAACACTCGAAAATAAAACCAGTTGACTAAAAAACAAAGACTAAATTTATTTTCTCAAGCAATTCTGTAAGGAGTCTTGAGTAACATGTAAAAGTGAAGCCACTCACACACTAGTGAGATCAGAAAATAAGTTAGTGGGATTCTGGATAAGACCTGGAACCTTGGACTTGACGTACAATTAGATGAGTAATCCAAACCCAGCCACTATCACTGCCTTACAAATTCTATGTCCTACATCAAATAAATAAAATAGGCATGGCAGGGGCCCACAAAATGACTCGGAGGGCAAGGCACTGGCTTCCAAGCCTGACAAACTGAGTTTCATCTCTGTATCACACATGGAGGAAGGAGAGAATGGACGCCCAAAAACTATCCTGTGAACTCTACATGTGCACGCCTCCTCACCCCCAAACTCCATATTTTTAAATGTTTAAAAATAAAAAATAGGCATAGTGGAAGGTCAAAGACAGGCCCTAGAAGGGATAATTCTCTTACAATTAAAAAAGACCTGGGCATGATGGTAATATGCGTATAACCCCAGCCTCCCACGAAGGAGGCTGACGACAGAAGAACTGCTTTGAGTTCGAGGCCAGCCTGTGCCACGTAGTGAGCGAAGCATAGCCGTACATCGAGATGAACTCATGCAGAGCTGGGCAAAAGGCGAGAATGCAAGGCGGAACGAAAGTGCGCGGTCCGCCTGGGACTCGGAACCTACGGCTTGCTGCAAACGGCGCTGGGGGCCGGGCGGGCTCAGTACAGGCGCTGAGCGGGCGGCTCTCTGCGTGCCGAATGTGCGGGCTGCGGACGCTGCTGGGCTTCGGGTTGCTGGTTGCAGGCTCCCGCCTGCCCCGGATCGCAGGCCGGCAGGGGGGGGGGCCGGGC